GCCCCACTGCCCCATGCCGCCCCAGAGCACGCCCATCGAGTTGTGGCGGTGCAGCGTCGACCCGTCCCAGGGTGCCATCTGCGCCGCCATCTGCGCCGCCATCTGCTGCTCCATCCACATGGGGTTTGGCGCCACGGCGCTGGGCAGGCAGCTGCAGCTGGGGCAGCCCAGGTGCGCCATGGACTGAGCCTGCAGGAAGGGAAGGTGTGAGTGTTGATGCCGCGCGACCCCGCGGTCAGGACGGGCGGCTCGCGTACCTGCTGCATCATGCCGAAGTGCGCGGGGTGCGGGTGTTGGTGCTGCTGCTGCTGCTGGTGCGCCAGGTTGGACACGGATGCCGAGGACATCATGCCCCGCTGCGGCGTGGCTCCTCGGCGCATGGTGGCTAGCCCGCCCGCCAGCCCGCCTGGGTCCCCGACCGTGAACCTGCCCGGCCCGGACCCGGACCCCGACCTGTAGCCGTCCGACCCCGAGATACTGCTCGACCTCTGCCTGGACCACCCCTGAGGCTGCTCCGCGTCCCAGTCTGGGAAGCCGCCGTCCCTGCTCATCGGCTGCATAAAGGAAGGGAACGTAGTTGTCAATGAAAGGAAACCTCTGCCGTCTTCCCCAGTATGCGTCCACGTCACGTCTGGTGCTATACTTACGAACTGCCCCGACGGGCTAGGTGACGCTCTACCCAGGGCGATCTGGTGTGCCCGGACTCGGGCGTCCATGGTGCTCCAATCGTCGCGACCTGCGAGCAGGAGAAGGACGGTGGTAAACAAGGGGGCAGTCCAGGGGCGTATGTTACATCTTAGTTAGTCTCATCGGGGCTCGAGGCGTTAGTGGAGGGTCTGCAGGGAGCACTCGTGGCCAGCTCTACGGCTACTACACGCTACGGCCCCGTGGCGACACTCCGAGGAGGGCGGCGCCACGGGCACACACGGGCATCTTACCTCTGAACCCCGACTGCATGCGGTCCTCGGGAAGGCAGGGGAGGGAGGGTCTGGGGCCTGCTAGCACGGAGCGCTAACCGGGGGCATAGAAAAGAAAATACAAAGTCCTCTTACTGTTTGGTTTCGACGCGAACGGCCCGTTGGTAGAGGCCTGGGCCTGGGCAGGCGTGGGTGGCAGAGGACGGATCCCCATGCCCCCGGAGGACCTGGGCAGGCTGTTGAGCCTGCTGGCGAGAGGGCTGCTCGGGGGGCCTCGGCCGCGGACGACCTGCGGCGACACCTGCGGCACACACACGCCTGCAACACCTCTCCGCACGGCCACGCCCGCTCCGCCCGCTCCGACCCCATAGTGGCCTCGGCCGCAGACGCTGGCACTTGGTAATGCTCTAAGCGGCTCTAAGTAAAGAAATAAGTCCATGCAGTTACGGATAGAGCGTAAAGACCAAGGGAAAACTCCGACTAGGGATTCAGTATTATTTATCCAGTTGGGTTTGGCTTATTTAATTTGTTAGCAAAGAGTTGGTCATGCAATTTGAAATCTCATGAGTGAGGAAAGGAGAATACATGCTCCTAAAATACTTACTCGTCGGAAATGTCATGAAATATCATCATGTAAAGGTGTTGCGTTGATTGATGAGCGAAAAGTTTTAATGTTTTAAATAACAAACAACAAAAAAATTTAAAAAGGAAAATGTTTTCTGTGTTTCAAACTAGACAAATGAGAGAAAAATGCGATAAATTTTAAAGGTGCACTGTCTCGTCGCCACCTTGTTAGAAACTAATTTAAGATGAATGAGAGTGCCTTTGGGAAAGGATGGATTTGTCATGACTTTAGCAAACTCCTAAAATTGTTTTTCTACAGATCTGTTCTAGCATTTGCAAGTGTACACACGTTTGGATATATTTTTTTTTAGTGAGGGCACGCAAGGAAACTAGAAAACACACGAAGCAAATAAAACACGACCAATTTAAGTACGAGCTCTATATTTTTAGACTGTAGATGGTTACAGAGATATCACAACTGATGATATAGACAAAGGAGTACTAGTGCACACTAGTGTTAATGTTGGGATGCATTAAAAAATCACAGCTTTATACACAGTAAACTACAGTAGCTCAAAGGACGAAATATGAAAACGAAAGGTTTTATCACAAAAGTACCTGGTGGACAGCTCAAGAAACTACCATAAAAATCTGACAAGTTTCTCAGTAGCTTTGTGACTAGATGCAATATCACATGAAATTTATACTAATATTATATTTCTTTCTGT